GAACCAGGGTGTCATCACGTCAGCATATCGCGAGTTTTGAAATTCAATTTAGTAAGATGGCATAATTTTGTTTGTTCAACTGCAAACCAAAGCAAAATGGAGCTGTAAAACGTGACAAAAAAACACCCGGAACAGAGGGACACCAAACACTGAAAAAACAAATTATTTATGACTGATGATAAACCACAAAATACGTGAGACAAGTTTGTTTTAATTGTTTTTGCATTTTATAAAACCTGTTTTTTATACACAGTTCTCTATTTGATTCAAGTGCAAGTCTAATCTAAAACTGTTGTGATTCATGTTAAATAGTTGTAATTCATGTTGGCAAAAAACCTTTAATTAAATAAAATTATATTGATTGTATATCAAGTTTTGCAATCACGCGTATGATCTCAGACCAAATTGCACTCCACTTAGTTAAATCATAATAACCTACCTGCATTTTGGAAATTGCAAGTCAGTTCTGCACTTTCTGGTCGTCATTGCCAGTGCCGCTGAAAACTGTTAAGCACGAAGCAACTCAAAGACGATGGTTTGCTGCATGTATGTATTTCAAGTTACTATCTTCTATTTCTAATAAGCATTCATTACAAATTGTTTCTTTAAATTGTGGGAGATATCCACTTTTGCAAACGTTTTATTCCTTGGTGCAGTTGTGAAATCGACATGATTAATGCCCACAACATATGTTAACTGCATGCTTTCCGCGCCAACATATGTAATATACGATTTAAATTCGATCGAGTGACACGACAGATCGATCGAGTGACAAGCTTCTCACTTACTTAATTAAACGCTTCACGCCACAGTCCAATCCCTAACCTAGCGGGTGACATGTGACAAGTCTACTTTTTTTACTATAGTCTATAGCCTACTTGAGCAATTTATGCAGGGAAATTGTTCAAAAGAGAGAGATGCGCATGATTCGGTCACGATTACGATGTACCTGGTAGTGAAGCCTTTAGTTATCACTTTCAGCCTTAGGCAGCAATTTTAATACCCAAATTTCAAGACAATTGGTCATGCAGTGCTCAATATTTAATAATTATTGGATGAGGGTGAGCGTGATATGAACTCGGTTGTAAAATCTGCCTTAGCCTAAGGCTTCGGCATCTCCCTTAGCCTAAGACTTCGGCAAATAACTAAGCCCCGGTCTTGATAATTATTCTCCATTTTCCGCGAAAACCGAATTCAGTATTTTTTAATTACGCGTATGTCAGAAAAAAACAAAATTGTGTCAGTAAAATCATTTTAAAAGTTCGGCAAGTGTCTCTTCTCTCGAGGTTTGCTTATACCTTTTTCTCTTCAAGATACTTATTTGAAAACTCTTAATGCTGTTTTTGTAGCTCGTTTTAGTGCGTGTAGCTCTTTTTCGTGATAAATTTTGTAAAATCGGTTTAGTTACCGAAGCTAATCTATAGTCATGACTTTTTCTTCGTCAAACAAGCTGGCTTTGCTTCGCATTGCGATTATTCTCTGCACAGCTAACGTCATGTCTACTGTACATGTACTGGGTGTCCCAAAAAAAACTTGTGCTTTTGATTTCATGTAAGGTAAAAACTATAAAAGCTAGCTATTACACTCAAAGTTTTATTGTATTGAGGAAAGGCTAACTTAGATCTTGATATACAGTCCTAAAAATGTCGTGTAATATTGCATGAGATATACAAATGTTTGTATTTGGCGCACGCTTTAAAAATGAGTAAAAATCGAGAAACACGGCTGATCAAATTTATATGAAAACAATTGTCGACATTTTCCACGACAAAAATTAACAATTTCAATTTTATCATTTCAACTTAACTTTAATTTCGAGTAATGTCCTAGTAAGTTAGCGTTTCGTGTTTTTTGCGAAGGGAAATAAGCATGAAACATTTAAAAACGTTCGAAAGCATATTTGACATCCTTTGGGATCGAATATGCCTTCGCCTTTCCAACCGTTTTGGGTTTTAATTAATGGTTTCTCGTGCAAGACATTGTATACGTGCAAGAGGACATATACTTTATCTGATGAATAAATAACTGTTTATCCAACAATTATGTTTTTCAGTCATTTATCTAATTTTTTACTATCTTAGCCAGCCGACTACTTTAGTTGGCTGTTTACCTAATTTGTTATATTTATTCTGTCTTCTTTTCTAATTATTTTTGTCTTTAGTAATAAAAATCGTCTTCTTCTTCGGGTTTTTCATTCGTTCTTTTGGCCACAATAAAACTATATATCAAGTTTAACGAAATAATAGATTTGATAGGCAATTTATGCAAATTTTTAACATTGTCAAATATGCTTATTCGATTTAAAACATCGATAGCTCAGTCAATGTTGCACGGACATTCAAATATTATATATCAAAATCTAAATTAGCCCTTTTGAATGCAATAAAACTTATCTGAGTGCGATAGCTTTTCTCGTTTGTACGTTACATTAAATCAAACAGCGCAAGTGTTTTTGGTACACCTGGTAGAAAACTAGTCTGTTATCTGCAGGTACTCCAGCTGAGGGTCAGCTGACCAAAACGAAATTATATAAGTAGTGCGTATAAGAAAAATCTCTAATTTGTCCTTACAGAAATTTCATGTGGATATCCAGGTTGTCCACAACGCGGGTTTGCATCTGGAAGTGTATACACAGTAGGATCAGTGGTGTATTTCTATTGTTATTATTCCGGCGAAGTTCTGAGTGGAGCTTCCTCTACAACATGTCAGTCTAATGGGACATGGAGTAATCCAACTCCTCCAAGATGTAAGTATAACTAAGACTAAATATTTTCGAAGTTAAACAACACCACTTTTTTCACTAGAATTAGACTCCCCATTTTAGTCCAGAATAACACTCGCACTAAATGCTAATTAGAGCTCCGTGTGGTGATCTGCAAATAAAATGTCGAACGGAAGGGACCGCAGAGGGATTTTACCATTGGAGGGCTGGTACGTGTTGGAATGATGTAGTTCGCGCGAAGCCGGGAATCATCCTAGGGGGATTTGGAGGCATGCCCCCCCCCAGTCGAAAATTTTGAAAATTCAAGCCCGGAAAGTGTGTTTCCCACAATAATTTTGTTTAATTAAAGTGAGCATGCATGTGTATATTGCCTGATGATGGGCAGATACTAGCCTCCTCTGGAGGCATCTCGTGGTACTTACTACAGCTAACCCAATCAGAAAAACATCAGTTATTTGAATAACTATATAAGTTATATAATTTCTCGACGATTAAGAGATGCCTGCGGAGGAGGCTAATCACAAGCGACGACAGTATATAACCAAGCAATATATAGTTTCTAATTTTCATTTCTTTTCATAAAGTTCCTATAATTTTTCCTTTTATTGTGTTCACGTCGTTAATATACAGCCATATTTGGCCATTTTCATCAAGTACAACTCGACTTAAAAGCCGGATTATAAATTTAATACCTAGTGCACGAAATATGCCGAAGATTTTTGATACACTCTGTATATATAACCCTATTTTCAATTCGTAATCGTATACTATGCTTTCCACTGAAGGTATTCATTGCCTGTTGAACAAATTTATATCGCCAAATATATGTATTTAGAAGGACTTTTATCGCAAAGTTTGCCTTCCAAAAACATAAACACGCTAGCCCACGTCAAGTGACGTCAAATGTCACGTATGCTAAAGATACATATCTAAAGGCGGCATAGATTTTATTGAGAACACGACATTTCAATATTTTAGGTTCGTCGTACGGCATTAGATTGGTTGGCACAAGTGATACAAACAGAGGTCGAGTAGAAATCTACCATCCATCGTACGGTTGGGGAACAGTATGTGATGATTATTTACAAATAGCGGATGGTAATGTGATTTGTCGTCAGTTGGGATACAGTGGTGCTAGTAATGCTTACCATGGTGCCGTTTATGGTCAAGGAACTGGTACAATACTGTTGGATGACTTAGGCTGTAACGGATACGAGTCTTATATTTGGGACTGCCCAAATCTAGGATGGACAGTTCACAACTGTGGCCATGGCGAAGACGCGAGTGTGGACTGCTACTGATATTTTCCTCGATTTTGTTATTTTATCGACAGTATTGCGTACGAAATATAAATTAACAATGAACACAATAATTAAGGATGAATAATGAACACAACTATCAAACCTTCCTATTAATTAATTAAAAATGTGGGGCATCATTGATTCTGAAATTTTCTTGTTGTTTTTAAGGAGGCTCCAACAGTTTCCCCTCAGGCTCAACAGCCGAATTATTCAGACATCATTCTGGGGTGTCGCGCGTGGAATATTCGGGGATATTTTTTACACAAGCAGTAAAAGTATTTTTTTAGTAATTTTTAGTGTTTATCTTGCCAGTTTTTCTTAAATCGCACATTGTTCGAATTTAAAAAGTACGTATGTTGGTAACCAGTTCTTAAGCTTTTGTTTAGTATGTTTTTCACCTATTAACGTTTAATTAATGGCCTTTTAAATGTTAAAAAATCTTTGACTTGTAAAACAGTGACATAAATATTACTAATATAGCAAGTTAATTAAAAAACTTACAGGTTTTGAAAAACTGTAAGTCTGCAAGGTTCGTTGTGATTCCCATTAGACTAACTTCAATCATTTTATCATTTTTATTGTAATAATGACGTAATGTTCAGAGAAAAGCCAGATGGCGGCCGTCGAAGAGGGAAGTAGCAGCTAAATCCTGAAATTTCCATTGAAATGAATATAACTCGAACGCTATTTCCAACCGAAAATTTGAAGCCAAACTTGAAGGCCAGTCTCAGTTTTTTTACGTATGCGAAGAGCGCTCAAACAGTCTATTATGATATATAAACACGCGGGTTTGACTTTGGCTTCAAGAAAAAGATAGGCAGTTTGTCCGAAGGTAACGTTACAGTTGTATTCGTTTCAATGAAAATTTTACATTGGCTATCATCTTGGATTTGACCGCGAAGTGAACTGGTGAACTTCCGTTGGAAGTACAGTGTACTTCCTAGTTCACAAAGTTTAAAATAGCTATGTTGTTGAGCTGTGTATCAAATTTCTTGCCTTTATGCGTTCTTTCCACGCTAAACCACGCTACACAGGGTGTATCAAAATAAATTGTTGTCGTCACTACATCTGGAAAACCACGTAAGAACAAATTAAAAATTATTTTAAAAGAGACCAGGTTGTTTGAAAATCCCAAACGAACGCTAAAAATCATAGAATCAAAACATTCTGGTGTCTGAGCCAGAGTGTCATCGAATTGCGATGTAATGTAAACAGAAATTATAGCAAGCTGATGTCAGTCAGCTTAGATGGTCCAAGCCAAAATTATATCGCATTTGAAGTTTCAAACTGTGTTAAAAATAGTGGAAGAAAAGCCGTAATTATACTTATTGTTACAATCCATTTAATAAAAATAATGCAACATTTGTTTGTTTTAATGAAAAAATCAGTTATTTTCATGAGAACGATTTGTCATTCCATCTCAATTTTTTTAATCTCCAATCGCAATAACGTAAAGTATTATTACCCGCGAACCAATGAGTCAAATTTAAGAAACAACCCACTGTTAGAAAGCTGAATGGCTACGCTTTAAAATGAATGTAAACTTTAACGTTTTCGTTTATTATTTGTTTAGCAATTCACATTTCAGTCGAGGATTGCGTTTTTTTTTATACACCCTGTATAACTCGTTAACTCTATTTATCGTCGTTAGAACAGGGCCGCTTAAAGCCGGTTTTAAACCGGCTTAAAGCCTGTTTGCATGCACTAGCGAATTTGTTCGCGCGAAGCGAATTTTCTATTGTTTAAATTGAAAAGAATTGATTAAAAATCTAATTAGTTCCAGCAGAGAGCTCGTAATACAAAAGATTCGCGCGAACAAATTCGCTAGTGGAAAACAGCCAAACAGGCTTTAAAGCCGTTTTCCACTAGGCGGAATTTTGCGCGCGGAGCGGAATTTCTCTTTGTCTTTTCTAATTAGTTCTATCCGAGAAATTACAAGACAAAGAAAAATTCTGCTCCGCGCGCAAAATTCCGCCTAGTGGAAAACGGCCTTTAAGGCGATTTTCCACTAGGCGAAATTTTTCGATCGGGTCTTCGCTCGAAATACCGAAGTGTCTTTTGTGATCTTTTTCGGATAGTCTAGGCATAAACCATGGCAGCAAAAATACTCAATACAGTCTACGATATTCCTCTTCAGCTACTTTGTTTTAAATTGTTGAGATGTATATGTTTGAAAACACTGTCAACAAAACTATTTTGAATGTGTATCACAACATTGTTCACTGTATATATTTGTTTTTTATTCTCTAGGCTGATATTCTTGTTAGCTCTGCTGTCTCTAATCTTAACAATCCGACAATAGTTGGGCGTAAATTGAATTCAGTTGGTGGTCCTTCCTTTATGACCGCGTGTAGTAAACATACTAATATTGGGACTGGGGACATTCGGACAACAATTGGTGGCAACCTACAGTGTAATTACGTCATACATGCAGTGTGTTGCCGCTGGAACAGCAGTGGTGTAGCTGAACAAGTAAGCAAACTTAAGTATTCACCTTAAAAGATTGGATCACTTTATTCACCTCTGCATTAATCTTATATGACGGAACTTTCTCTAAGCCGCATTTTAGTAATTCTGTGTTTGAATAATTAGACCATATAGGCTTAGACCATATAGAATGTTTCGGCGGCGGCCATTATGAAGCGATTTGAACAAATTTCAGACGAAGATTTAAGTAAAAAATAAATTAACTGTTTTTAATTGTTTTATAATTATTATTTTTTTATTTTGTTTGATGAAAATGGAATATTCTGTATTCAAAGTGGAAGAGAAGAAAGATGGCCGCCGAAATTTGTTCGGCACGGGCAGGTTTATATAAATCTTGGCATTGTTTTCGCAGAATGTGTTCATTTTCTCTTTTCAAGAATAAGGGAATATTGTAGAGACTTTTTTTAGCTTTAATTTAAGCCTAAGTTTGTTTGTTTGCGTACTTTTGTCTTCAGTACTTTTTAGTATTTTACCGAAATGGCATGTGATAAAAACCAAACATACTTGCAGGTTCGGTGAGTCCGAGATTGGATGCACCTCGGGTGGCTGGAAGTTTCCCGAACCCACTTCGCTTCGCTCGGTGGGTTCAGGAAACTTCCAGCCACCCTCGGTGCGTCCAATCTCGGACTCACCTCCCTGCAAGTATGTTTGTTATAGAGTGGACTCTCTGTATATATACTTCCTCTGTGGTTAGGATAGCGTATAATAGCTGACGTGCGCTTCACAAACTAACTCGTGTCCGTGCGCGCGCTTAATTTTTCTTCATTGCGTGTCCGTAAAGTCCGTTTTCCACTCACGTATTTCGGTGGCGAAAAATTTCGCCACCGAAAAAGTTCATTTGTTGTTCTTTCGCGCCGTCAACGAAAGGTCGAACAGAAGTTTTTTTTATTAAAGGTTTATTAAGAAACACATTTTGGCACCCGAAGGTGAATTGCAATATGCTTACAGAAACATAATAAAGGATGAATATCAAATAATATAAATATAGATATATCGTATATATGTACAGTTGTTAAAATACTACAAATTATTTACTATTAAAATTAGCAGTCATTGCTGGTATAAAACTAGTTTTAAAACGTTCCGTTCTGCATTTAGTTAATGTGAAGTTAGAATTGTTTCTTAAGTCCAGTTCATGCGATTCTTCACGGAGTGGGGGTAAGAGGTGGTTGAGGTGAGCATCGGGTTTTAAGATCTTTTTGAAAGTTTTAGCACATAGCTCTTGACGTCTGTCGACAAGGCGCTTGCATTTAGCGATGTTGAGAGCATCTTCGTAATCTGTTGTCGGATAAATAATACGGAAAGCTCTTTTTTGAACTTTTTCAATTTTATCCCCCAAACACTTTGGTAACATGGTGTGCCAGACAGGACAGGCATATTCTAAGATAGAGCGCACCATAGAAAAGTAGACTAATAAGAGGTCATTGGGGGGAAGACCACAGCGCTGTAGGACACGAATAATGTATAAGCGTTTTGAGGCTTTTTTAACTAACGCTTCAGTGTTATCTTGCCATTTCAATTTATTGTTCATGGTTAAGCCCAAAATTTTGAAAGAAGGAACTAAGTCTAGAGGTAAACCATCAATGAGGAGTCGGGGGATGTCATTCTCGCTACGGACGAAACTCACTATCATTTCTTTCCGTTCAATTTCATGTTGTTATTAACAGTCCATCTTTCAATTGTGTTAAGACCAGATTGTAGGACTGAAACTTCATTTTTCTTTAAGGACTCCGATATTGTCACGTCATCCACGTATTTCCAATGGTCAGTGCTAGAGGATGCCAGTTCAAGATCGTTGATCATAATTATGAACAAAATAGGGCCCAACTTAGTTCCTTGAGGGACACCTGCGTTATTGATGCCCCAATCAGATCGGAAATTGTCGATCTTTACCGATTGACGGCGATTTGAGAGAAAGCTGCATATCCATGGAATAAGCGACAATCTGACGCCAAGGGCCAGCAACTTTGGGACCAGGATATTATGGTCGATGCGGTCGAAGGCTTTACTAAAATCGAGGAAAACGATCCGCAGATAGCTCGATTTATCATCCAATGTTCTTAGCCAATTGTTGATCATATCGATCAAGCAAAACGTTGTAGAGGTTCCTTTAAGGCAACCAAATTGTTGCGGGTTGATTTTATGTTTCACGTCATCCACCATCCAATTGACCACAAAGTCCTCAAGAATTTTGGACAAAGAGGCTGTAAGGGAGATTGGGCGCAACTCCTCCTCACAGGATACGGATGGCGCTTTAGGAATTGGTGTAATTAACGCATCTTTCCATATGTTAGGGAATTCACCAGTGGACAGAGATGTATTAAAGATGTGACATACATGTTCGGCCAATTCGTACGCGAAATCCTTAATAATCCGGTTAGGAATATTGTCAGGACCGCTGGATTTGAAAACTTTTGTATTGAGCATCTTAGTGCAAACTTCGTCAGGGAAAATTTTTGGTACAGGCCTAGGTGCAGGGAGAAAGGCAGGTAGCAGGAGAGGATTCAGTGGTGGTAGGTCATTACTCACGCTTAAGAAATAGGTGTTAAGTGATTGGGCGAGATCTTTACCAGATAGAGTGGTACCATTCTTAACGATCTTAATGTTATTGGTTGCAGATCTTTTTTTCCCGGACATCTGGTTAACACAGTCCCACCATTTTCTGGAGTCACTGGATTTTAGGTGTTGTACCTTGTTCGTATAATATGCACGCTTTTTCACTCCTATGTCGTTTCGGACTTTAAGTCTATAGTGACGCCAGAGGTCAAGGTTACCAGAATGAAAGGCTTTTTGCCTTTGATAAATCAGTTTTTTAATGCAGGCGTCATCCATGGTTTGTCAGAGTTATGAATTCTAATAACCTTAGACGGGAATAACCTATCAACAGCAGAATTTAACTCGTTGGTAAAGGAGGACGCTAGGGCGGTCGCAGAGTTTTTGCTTTCGGCATCAGAGAACCACTCACGTGAGCAGCACCATCTTCCAAAAGCTGCACGTGCCGACATGGGGAAGGAACGTATGTTTTTCTTAATTGTTTTATTATCTGTTCTTAAAACGTTAGTTTTCGCGGACCATTTAACAATGTTGTGATCTGATGAGCCGAGCGGTGCTATAATCACATGCTTAGAATACAAGGCTTCTAGATTAGTAACAATTAGATCCAAGATGTTACCTTCACGCGTTGGGGTGTCCACTATTTGCGTAAGATTGTGATGGCACAGGAGATCGCTGATATCTAAATTGTTGAAATCACCGAGTAAGACAACGCCGCAGTCGGGGTGGGTACATCTAACTCGGTCAATCTGATCGATAAGATAGGCCGTTAATTCCTTTTGCTCATTAACTGGTGTATCAGGCGGGTTAATTATATAGGACACAGCAGATTAATCCAGTTAGGTGACTTGGGAGGCGGTGGGGTCGCAGCCATAACCATAAGCATTCATGAGAGGGGTTTTCAAGGTCCATTCTTCTTTTAGCTGGGATATTTGTCGAGATGAAATCGCAGACACCCCCACCACGGCTGTAAGATCTATCATTGCGAAAAATGTTCTAATTATTTATGTAAATTAGTTGCTCAGGAACAGTATCTTTGAGCCACGTTTCAGTTACAGCAATAAACTCTATAGAATGTATTGATAGTAAGAGGGATAGCTCGTCTATTTTGGGTAACAGTGAGAGAGCATTTATGAGAAGAAAACTCGGTAATCTTGATATGTTGTTTCCGTTCATGGCCTGGTCATGTATTGAAGTACTGACTAATTTCAGTTGTCTATGATTATTAATGTGGTTAACGACGGTTATATATGTGTGATTATTAATGTGGTTAACGACGGTATATATACATTCATGGATTGTAATAAGAGCCTGCGAAGTGCGGTGCGGTGCATACAGCGCCTCCGATGCGCTCAATTATGCGACGACTAAAAACTGTAAACAGAACGACGAATATATTTTACTATCGCGCAAGCGAGTATAATTACATCATTTTCTAATTTACTTTAAAGCGTTAAGAACTGTCAGAAAAGACAGCAATACAATAGCCTATATTATACTCATTTTGTAATTTGGTTGCATCCTTTGCAAACCGTCATAACTGCCCATTTTGTAATTTACGTCGTCAAGGACAATTATAGGGCTCTATATATAGATGCGTAAAGGCTTCTATGCTCAATTGTGCAAGGCATCTACAGGCCACGTATAGACGTTTTTCGTATATACTTTTAGTAACGTTGTCAAAGACAATGTGCCATTGACATTGACTAATTGATTGTACATGTTTAGCCGCCAGTGCTAATAGCGACTATTTTGAGTTAGTAACCAGATCCACGAGGATTCACATCGAGTTTATGATTCTAGTTACCGGAGGACTCGTTACAGAATAGATCGTTTTACTGGGATTGCTGCCAAATATAGCCATGCATTTTCGATTCAGTTTTGGTGACTGGTGTTTTACAATTATATAATCATTTATGAAATCGATATATTAAATTTCCTTAAAATATCCTGAAACCATTGGCAAATACATTTATATTTTTTATATAATTTTAATTTTCAAACCACTGTATGCATGCATGCATCGTGGACATTGTGAACTTAATAATATAACACTTGTCAAAAATCGGTCTCCCATACCCAGCTTGTTCGCAGGTGCGAGGTATTCTCCCACCTAAAAAAGTTCCATAGAATTCCACTCCTCATACAATTTCAAATTTACAAATAACGCTAAGATTATCAGATTAACATCATACAAAAATTATAATAATGAACTCTTTATATATATTAAAATCTGGTAATCTACTGACATAATTACAGAAACCTGCACTAACACCCGTATTCTAAAAGCTCGCTAACACTCATACTCAATGCATGAGTGGAGGTTCAATCTGAGCTTCTCTTGAGTGTCAGCGCTGTTTTTCAATAGCTACCGTGAATGTAATTAGAGTCACGCAGTAACGGTACGACATTAACCTTCCAGCTATTCAAAAACAGCAATGACACTCGAGAGAAGCTCAGACTGAACTTCCACTCATTGAGTGTGAGTGAGCTTTTAGAATAAGACTACTTTTTCTGTTTAGAAATACTATTTTCCGCCACTTTTAGGAAAATCTATTAGGTTGTTACACATGTTTGCCAAAATTTACGCATGTTTAGAAGATCTCGCTGAACCGTAAAATTATAGGACATGCTACTTTTGGCAAAAACGCCTGTTAATATTTTGATTTCCAACGCTTGCGTTGCCAAAATTAAGTATTTCCTCAAAATATGTCCTATAGGCGATTGTGGAATTTGGAGAAAATCAAGGATTTTTTATTTTATTATTTTTAAAAACCTTAAATAGAAAATCCCTGTTCATAATATTTCGTGTTTATTGTGATTATTTCGTCACCTGATCAGCATACTATTTACTAGCAACTGTATAATAATTTAATTCAACTTGTTTTCATCACAAAGTCTTTTATAGCAGTTATCATGGTAGTGCCAGTTAAATTCCCCACAGCAGTTTGAGCGCCCAAATTGCCTTTCTACATCGGGCCATTCCATCTGATATCCCTACTCCTCCCCCTCCTATGGACGAGGTCAGTAAAATTTTAACCCCTAAGAAAAAATTATCAAAGTGCTGATACAAAATCTCCCTCAGAAATTTGTATATTTTCCCCTTACCCCTCAGAAAAATCGCAGAGACCAAAGGATGCCGACAAGCTTAACAGCTCAGCAACGACTTGGGGTCACCCTTTAGAAAAATGCATCCAAAGGGTGGGTGTGGACGTTAAATGGAATGGTGCATCTTCGTTAGTGAACAGGTTGCATGAACGCAGTTGACGCATGCGCATGCGACAGGTTTCTGATTTCTGGTCTTCGAGCTTCGCCCATGCCATCTCTCACGACAAGCAACAAATCTCTTCAGACACTTCTCTGTAACTTTTAGAAGTGATTGTGAAACATCCTCATGCAAGATGAATAAAACATTTATTAAATTTTAAATGTTTGAGTGAGCAGCTTGTCTAATTTCAGCCACCATATTGCTTTTATCCATGCGTGGCAGCTATGTTGCAATGGAAACGCGCGCGATTTCCAGATGGCGTAAACGAAACATTCATCGATATTATCAAAGTTTCAGGTCTCCTTTCTACGTATTGTGCACACTAGTGAACGGGGGCTTTGTATTTCCTGAACAATGAGACTAATATGCATTGTGTTATGGCGGAATTTTTTAGCCTCGCGACATGTGCAACGGACTTGAAAGATAAAGCAGGACAGGTGACGGCCTAAACGTCCGCGCATACTTACTACTTGTATTCAAAGATTGGAAATAGTATTGCCGTTACGAAGCTCTGGCAAAACGTTTAAACCCCACCATTTTCGTATACTAGGGCATGCGCTCTAATTGTGATGTTGCTGAGTCGTTATTGCATGACAATGTGGGCTCAATCAAGAATTTTTGGTGCCTTTTGTTTTGATTTATTTCGACTCATTTATTGCGACAAAACGCTGAAATTGTATATTTAAATAGTTCTTAATTACGCTTGAGTGCCCTAATATTTTTTCGGGATCTTTAACCGTTTCTTCATCTCGAACTTCTACTCTTTATCTCGGATCTTTAACAGAAACTTTGTGGTGAAGTAAATAAAAAACTTCGCGGAGAATATCTTGAAATAATTTATTAGTTTTCCTCATTAATATTCCCTACACGCCAGCATGTATATTCTACGCACGTTCAGTTAAAACGATCTAGCTCGTCTTAGCGTGCAGTTTGTGACCGCAATAATTTGATCAAGCAGGACACGCGTTGACGCCAGTGGTTGATAATGACACATTGACACTTTGTCGTTTAGGTATGTGGTTTATTTAAATTAAGTACTATAGTCTTTCTAATTAAATATATCAATAGTTTATAATTCAAATTACTGATAAGTAGTTCAAGAATTTTTTCGAGTTCAAGATTACATTATACTGTACATTTTAGACCTAACCAGGTGCAGCTGGGAAAAATGCAACCATGTGCCCTCTTGCGGTAATCGAACCTGCGGCTTTGGGATTGAGTTGGAGCGCCTTAACCATCTGAGAGCTGGACAATTGGACTATGTATACCTGAGCTGGTTTCAGAAAATGAGTATGTTTATGACATTCAGTATATAGTTCATAATTTCCAGTGTTAAATCCGTCTGACCGTGTAGCTCAGTTGGTAGAGCGTCGATCTAGTAATTCGAAGGTCGCGGGTTCAAGACCCAGCCGCGGCAGACTTTATCTTTCTGCTTACGCTGGGTATGGAAATTATGAAATACAAACTGGAGAACACTTTCTACTTGTGGCCGAGGTCTTGAAAGTTTTCAACACCGAGGGCACAGTTTTTCTCATCCGGACCGACGCTGCCGGTAAATAACGTGTTTATTTTTTATCAGATGTAAAAATTAAATTCATTAAAATCCCAGTGTTGCTTGCGAGCTACTTTGAGATCAGCGCAGTTGTTTATTTTTAATGCGAGGTTGACAAAAATTGAAGAGTTGAAACTTGAAAGATATAGAACAAGAATACGAAAATTCGAGAAAACTGGCAAGAAACAGACAAAAGGACGTATAGTTTCAATAAAAATTTACATGTATGAATATGGTAGCAGTGAAGCTTTGGATAAAATTAAAAAGTTTTAAGCCTGGCTTTGACAAATTCAGTTGCTTCTGACAACGACAGGTTCATGTGAAGGTCCGACTCCAAAAGACATAAAAACGAATCTGTTTTGATTTAATCAACGTTTTTCTACTAAAAGGACAATGGAAAAGGTATGTTATTTTTATATTTTTGTACTTTTTCTGGTCGTTTCACGATAATATGCTTGAAAAAAGTGTTTCTAAACACAGACTTCTACGTTGTTTACAATATTTATATCATGCAGTGAAAACTGTCTGACACAAATGGAAGAGAATATATTCGTGACTTGTTTTCACTGCTGCAGTTAAACCTTCTTCTAAATGGAAAAACATTGATTTTACAATATCTGTTTAAGCTTTAACTCTTTCGCTTTTAAGTGGCTGAATACACGAGGATTTAGATAAATGTATTGTTTTCTCGGCGTAAGTTTTATA